GAACCATCAGAACTGGACCAGAACCATCAGAACTGGACCAGAACATCTCTCTGCTACCAGAACCTGTCAGAGGACTGACCTGGGCTGGTACTCCAGGTTGGAGTGGATCTGGTAGTACCAGTCTCCATCTGGCAGCTCCTCAGTGGAGGTGACTCCAGAGGTGATCTCCTGTCCGTCTCTCAGCCAGCTCACCTTGATGGTTTTAGGGTAGAAGCTGTAGGCAGCGCAGGTCAGCATGGCATTCTGACCACCAGAGGGTGACTCAGAATAAATGGTGACGTAGGGCTCCGCTGTAAAACAATCAGTTCATGAATTTAGACTGAATCTGTGCTAGATGGAAAAACACTTTAAATGATATTAATGTGGAAGGGTTTCATTAAATATAAATGAATCTATGTTTTTAGCTCACATCAAATAAAGTTTAATGGTCGTGGTTAAAATGCTTCTGAACCAGTTTCATTAGTGGATATGGAAATGCCCCTGAAGAAGATCATAACTGAAACACTTTGGTCTCCAATAGAGTCTGTTCCTTCACTTCCTGTGTCGCTGAAGTTACGTCCTCACCAGTTCATTGACTTTCTTCAGGTATATTGGAAGTTGGTGAAGTTCTACCAGAAATGTTGGGACCTGGTTCTATAACAGGGATTTGTTTTCTTTTATTTCATACATAAAGTCCTGTTAATTCATTTTATAATATTAAACAAAGACTTCGTTGCTCCTTTATGACATCATAGTCAGATCGATGGGAGCCAAACAGGAGTTTTCAGCACTGATTGAACCATATTGCTGGTTCTGGGAGTTGTCTCCTGTGTTTGTACTTGTTGTTTATTATGAGCAGTCTCATCCTCTGGGAGTTCATGGACTTTTGTATCATTTTAAAGTTGTAATACTTAAAGGAGTGGGTGTAACGATTGATCATTAAATCAATGGTTCAATTTCTATTGCTGCGATGGAACCACATCGATCAGTGCTCTGCAAATCGTTGATGGAAACGACATAAGCTAGCCTACAGACTTGAACAAGATCAACCATGAAGCTTGGGCCAAATGAGGTGAGACGATGTTCCAGTTGCATTTGAGTTTTGAGCACAAGTACCATCCGCCAGAAACCCCTGCGCAAGACAAGGAATACAGGGAGGTGATGTCACAACTTTACAAACTTGGACAGAGGCCAACTCTACTGTCCAAGACTACACTCTTCATTAGGAAGGAGGTTGGATTGACTTCTCATCAGCTGCAGAAGCCAGGAAGTATGTCTGGTCCTACGGGACATTCTGATAAACTACCATTGCTACCACAGTCTACAACAGTCATCACTTATCCCGTGCAGTCGTACACCCATCTGGAATAACCCTGACATTTTACAAAACAATAATGTGATAAACTTTCCGTACTGGAAGAATAAAGGTATTACATATCTGGATCATTTGTTTGAAGTTACGGCGTTTATCACACTCGCTAGATTAA